AGTTTGGATGACAATACATGCAGAGGTTTATTCACAGACTGGAAATCTGTTTTGTTTCTTCGATGAATTGAAAAACTATTTCCCCTGATGCGCTAATGAAAAACTATGAACATCTTATTAATATGTATCATACAGACCTGGGTTATGATGACCTTTGAAATGAATGTATCTCAAACCCTTCAAGGCCCTAAACAAAAATGTACACACAAAGAATTGTGGACAATATTTTGTTCCGAGTGCTGAAATTACACCAAGTGTTTATGTGTATGATGGTAATCAGCCGTCCAGGAAAACGTTTTCGATTCGCAAGAATATTAAACAAAAGTTGCTCCCAAGCATAATGGGGCAGCACCGTTTGAATGGGTTTCCTTTTAGATGACAAGAAATGGCCGCAAATTGTTGTTATAATGGGAAGCTGGGTGTATTTTCTGTAATCTGTATATTAGATACATTAGGGCTGTATCCTATGTTTCTGTTGTTGTATATTAGATACATTAGGGCTGTATCTTATGTTTCTGTTGTTGTATATTAGATACATTAGGACTGTATCCTATGTTTCTGTTGTTGTATATTAGATACATTAGGGCTGTATCTTATGTTTCTGTTGTTGTATATTAGATACATTAGGACTGTATCTTATGTTTCTTCTGTCGTTGTATATTAGATACATTAGGACTGTATCCTATGTTTCTGTTGTTGTATATTAGATACATTAGGGCTGTATCTTATGTTTCTGTTGTTGTATATTAGATACATTAGGGCTGTATCCTATGTTTCTGTTGTTGTATATTAGATACATTAGGGCTGTATCTTATGTTTCTGTTGTTGTATATTAGATACATTAGGGCTGTATCCTATGTTTCTGTTGTTGTATATTAGATACATTAGGACTGTATCTTATGTTTCTGTTGTTGTATATTAGATACATTAGGGCTGTATCCTATGTTTCTGTTGTTGTATATTAGATACATTAGGGCTGTATCTTATGTTTCTGTTGTTGTATATTAGATACATTAGGACTGTATGCTATGTTTCTGTCGTTGTATATTAGATACATTAAGGCTGTATCTTATGTTTCTGTTGTTGTATATTAGATACATTAGGACTGTATCCTATGTTTCTGTTGTTGTATATTAGATACATTAGGGCTGTATCTTATGTTTCTGTTGTTGTATATTAGATACATTAGGGCTGTATCCTATGTTTCTGTTGTTGTATATTAGATACATTAGGACTGTATCTTATGTTTCTGTTGTTGTATATTAGATACATTAGGACTGTATGTTATGTTTCTGTCGTTGTATATTAGATACATTAGGGCTGGATCTTATGTTTCTGTTGTTGTATATTAGATACATTAGGACTGTATCTTATGTTTCTGTTGTTGTATATTAGATACATTAGGACTGTATCCTATGTTTCTGTTGTTGTATATTAGATACATTAGGGCTGTATCTTATGTTTCTGTTGTTGTATATTAGATACATTAGGGCTGTATCCTATGTTTCTGTTGTTGTATATTAGATACATTAGGACTGTATGCTATGTTTCTGTCGTTGTATATTAGATACATTAGGACTGTATCCTATGTTTCTGTCGTTGTATATTAGATACATTAGGACTGTATCTTATGTTTCTGTTGTTGTATATTAGATACATTAGGACTGTATCTTATGTTTCTGTTGTTGTATATTAGATACATTAGGACTGTATCCTATGTTTCTGTTGTTGTATATTAGATACATTAGGGCTGTATCTTATGTTTCTGTTGTTGTATATTAGATACATTAGGGCTGTATCCTATGTTTCTGTTGTTGTATATTAGATACATTAGGACTGTATCTTATGTTTCTGTTGTTGTATATTAGATACATTAGGACTGTATGCTATGTTTCTGTCGTTGTATATTAGATACATTAGGGCTGTATCTTATGTTTCTGTTGTTGTATATTAGATACATTAGGACTGTATCTTATGTTTCTGTTGTTGTATATTAGATACATTAGGACTGTATCTTATGTTTCTGTTGTTGTATATTAGATACATTATGACTGTATCCTATGTTTCTGTCGTTGTATATTAGATACATTATGACTGTATCCTAAGTTTCTGTCGTTGTATATTAGATACATTATGACTGTATCCTATGTTTCTGTTGTTGTATATTAGATACATTAGGGCTGTATCTTATGTTTCTGTCGTTGTATATTAGATACATTAGGACTGTATCCTATGTTTCTGTCGTTGTATATTAGATACATAAGGACTGTATCCTATGTTTCTGTCGTTGTATATTCGATACATTAGGACTGTATCCTATGTTTCTGTCGTTGTATATTAGATACATTATTACTGTATCCTATGTTTCTGTCGTTGTATATTAGATACATTATGACTGTTTCTTATGTTTCTGTCGTTGTATATTAGATACATTATGACTGTATCTTATGTTTCTGTCGTTGTATATTAGATACATTATGACTGTATCTTATGTTTCTGTCGTTGTATATTAGATACATTATGACTGTATCCTATGTTTCTGTCGTTGTATATTCGATACATTAGGGCTGTATCTTATGTTTCTGTCGTTGTATATTAGATACATTAGGGCTGTATCTTATGTTTCTGTCGTTGTATATTAGATACATTATGGCTGTATCCTATGTTTCTGTCGTTGTATATTAGATACATTATGACTGTATCTTACGTTTCTGTCGTTGTATATTAGATACATTATGACTGTATCCTATGTTTCTGTCGTTGTTTATTAGATAAATTAGGACTGTATCTTATGTTTCTGTCGTTGTATATTAGATACATTAGGACTGTATCTTATGTTTTTGTCGTTGTATATTAGATACATTAGGACTCTATCTTATGTTTCTGTCCTTGTATATTAGATACATTAGGACTGTATCCTATGTTTCTGTCGTTGTATATAAGATACATTAGGACTGTATCTTATGTTTCTGTTGTTGTATATTAGATACATTAGGGCTGTATCTTATGTTTCTGTCCTTGTATATTAGATACATTAGGACTGTATCCTATGTTTCTGTCGTTGTATATTAGATACATTAGGACTGTATCTTATGTTTCTGTTGTTGTATATTAGATACATTAGGGCTGTATCTTATGTTTCTGTCGTTGTATATTAGATACATTAGGGCTGTATCTTATGTTTCTGTCGTTGTATATTAGATACATTAGGACTGTATCTTATGTTTCTGTCGTTGTATATTAGATACATTAGGACTGTATTCTATGTTTCTGTTGTTGTATATTAGATACATTAGGGCTGTATCTTATGTTTCTGTCGTTGTATATTAGATACATTAGGACTGTATCCTATGTTTCTGTCGTTGTATATTCGATACATTAGGACTGTATGCTATGTTTCTGTCGTTGTATATTAGATACATTAGGGCTGTATCCTATGTTTCTGTTGTTGTATATTAGATACATTAGGGCTGTATTCTATGTTTCTGTCGTTGTATATTAGATACATTAGGACTGTATCCTATGTTTCTGTCGTTGTATATTAGATACATTAGGACTGTATGCTATGTTTCTGTCGTTGTATATTAGATACATTAGGACTGTATCCTATGTTTCTGTCGTTGTATATTAGATACATTAGGACTGTATCTTATGTTTCTGTCGTTGTATATTAGATACATTAGGGATGTATCTTATGTTTCTTCTGTCGTTGTATATTAGATACTTTAGGACTGTATCTTATGTTTCTGTCGTTGTATATTTGATACATTAGGACTGTATCTTATGTTTCTTCTGTCGTTGTATATTAGATACATTAGGGCTGTATCTTATGTTTCTGTTGTTGTATATTAGATACATTATGGCTGTATCTTATGTTTCTGTTGTTGTATATTAGATACATTAGGACTGTATCTTATGTTTCTGTCGTTGTATATTAGATACATTAGAGCTGTATCTTATGTTTCTGTCGTTGTATATTAGATACATAGGGCTGTATCTTATGTTTCTGTTGTTGTATATTAGATACATTATGGCTGTATCTTATGTTTCTGTCGTTGTATATTAGATACATTAGGGCTGTATCTTATGTTTCTGTTGTTGTATATTAGATACATTATGGCTGTATCTTATGTTTCTGTTGTTGTATATTAGATACATTATGGCTGTATCTTATGTTTCTGTCGTTGTATATTAGATACATTAGGGCTGTATCTTATGTTTCTGTCGTTGTATTTTAGATACATTAGGACTGTATCCTATGTTTCTGTTGTTGTATATTAGATACATTATGGCTGTATCTTATGTTTCTGTTGTTGTATATTAGATACATTAGGACTGTATCCTATGTTTCTGTTGTTGTATATTAGATACATTATGGCTGTATCTTATGTTTCTGTCGTTGTATATTAGATACATTATGACTGTATCCTATGTTTCTTCTGTCGTTGTAAATTAGATACATTATAACTGTATCCTATGTTTCTGTCGTTGTATATTAGATACATTAGGACTGTATCCTATGTTTCTGTCGTACCACTAGTTTTGGTGAAGTACCAATACAAAAATTAGAACAAGTAGGTTTTTAAGTAGGCAGACAGATGAGACAATGATAAGAATCACAAATGAAATAAAATAAAAATGCTAACATTTCATACAAAATTTAATTCATCAACAGAAAAGCACACACCAACAAAATAACCAAACCAGTACAACAGCAAGCGAAATTAAGTTCACTCATAGAAAAAACTGAAACAAGGTTCATAGAAAGAAAATAATAAGTCAGTCAAGTTGTATCTTTAAAAAAAAAGCCTACCCAGCCAGTTAGTACGACACAGTAAAAAAAAAACAACAACAACAACAAAACTCTACAATCTGGCTTGGATTCAAAAGTCCGAATACGCCAAGTAATGAACTTTCTATTTAAAATAATTCTGCGAATTATCTGTCTATCTCCCCCCCCCCCCAATCCCCCCACCCCCGGATAATTTGATGCTAACGACTAGCGAGCTGATTATTTGCACACTTTCTGTTGCAGGCTTGGCTTGAAGGGAGAGTGCTACTATGAGGGGGAGAGGGGTGGGGGGTAGAACTACCAAATGCCCTACATGAAGTGAGTCTATGAGCCAACGGAGCCCTCACATACTACAGGCTGCTCCATCAGTGTCGATACATTGGAAGAAATCAACAGATCACCAACGCCGTTAAAAGCATCAATCCAGCTGTGCTTATACAAGTTCTTTAGCAGTGCAAGCCACACATCGAAATGTGTTTACAAAATAATAGGTGGTCATGAAGAGGATATGATATAAATAAAAATGTCTTTAAACTTGTTGTGTTTATTTCTCCTATGCACAGAAAATACCGTATACCCTCTAGTTTCGGCAGCACTGTAAGTGGGTCATTCACTGGCATGCGATAATAGCACTTTATAAAATATATATTTTTTTTACTTTTTCAACTTCATAAAACGGAATTTTCAAAAGATTATAAATTTGTAAAATTAATTTTTCATAATATTTTAAGAGCATGAACTGATGTTTCGTATTAAAACAAGTGCATAAAACTGACTTACTAGCTAACTATGAAGATTTACAAGTAAGAACTGATGTTTCGTATTAAAACAAGTGCATAGAACTGACTTACTAGCTAACTATGAAGATTTACAAGTAAAGGGATTCTTGACCTAAACCAAAATAATAAAATGACCAAACATTTTAAATTATTTGATATAATAATGTTACTGTGTAATTATTATTTTCCTACATTGATTCACCATTTAATTATTAGTTTTTCAACATTTATTCACAAATTAACTATTAGTTCATCAAAATGACTATATTCGGATTTTTGGTCAGGGAAATATCTTTCTACGAACAGACTAAAAACAAAATACCTGGAAGTGTCCTGTCCAGCTGTGTCCTGTCCAGCTGTGTCCTGTCCAGCCGTGTCCTGTCCAGCCGGGTCCTGTCCAGCTGGGTCCTGTCCAGCTGGGTCCTGTCCAGCTGTGTCCGAGTGTGTAGGTTGTCTGTGTAATGCTGAAAACGATGAGGTTTGTGGTCTTGAGTGCTCCCTTCCTGAGGACAGACTAGCCATCTTGCTCGAGTCATCGCTGTTGAGTGACATAACCTTGGGAATAGCCTCATATCTTGAGGAGGCCCTAATGCTGGAAATGTCTCCGCCAGATTCTGGATTGCTCCTAACAAGGCACGGTTTAAGGGAGACTGACTCAAGGATGCGGCCTACCTTCTTAAGATCATCAGATGCTGGAAGTTGGCGCGAAAGAAAATAATGAACTGGTGACGCCGAAAGCAGACATCTTGTATTCTTGGTATCTTGCTTATCATCAGTATCAGTTTTGAAGGAAAATTCTGTTGAATTATTGTTTGAATTTAGTTCTTCTGCTGTTGGGTTTCTTCTTGCAAACCCGATCTGGTCTGAGCGGTTGTCGTGTTGGGTTAACAGCAGCACATCTTGCCCTCCGTTTTCAAGTGTTGGAGAAAAACGAACAGCTCTCTTTGGCGATAAACACAACGAACGGGTTCTCATTTTCCCGGAAATAGTCGAATCCTGGAAACCAGGTTCTGGCATACGCGGACTTACCATTTGTTCAACTGGCAGGAAGGTCGAACAGTTTTCTAACATGGAATTTGTGTGCGTTATTGAATTTACATTATCACTAAACGAAATGCGGTTTAACTGACCGTTTGTTAAGAACTTATCAAAGCTCCCTTTATGTTTTAAACTAGAATTTGGAATGTTATGTGAAACATTTAAAGGGAGACTACTGTTGTTAAAAACACTGAAAGACCTCACTCTACCCCCTTTTCCACTATTGTGAAATGAATCTGCGAGAGTTTTATCCCTTTCAAATTCCATTGTTTCGTTTTGTAATATCGTATTTATTTTGCTCACGCCTAAAATTATCTGAGGTCGGGGTTCTCCAGTGTTGGTATCGCCCTTTGACTGACTTCCAGGTGAATTCTTGTCGTCGAAATCATTACCTGACCCCTGATTATAGGATTCAGACTGTGAGTACTTTCTATCTGCAGATCTGTCTAGAACTAGTTCCCCAATATTCGAATTCTCTATGCCAAATTCTAACAGCGGAATTCTATCTGCGCCGATGTATGTCGTTGTATTATTGGCACTTTCAGTACCCCAGCCTAAACTGGGTGCCTTTTCAGAATCTCGCACGTAGATATCTCTCCTAGGTAGGGTCTCTAAGTTAACGGTCACTTGGCCGCCAGGTTTGAATGAGCTGGGGTACGTTCTCAAATCTACCGTCACTGACCGATCGTCAACCGATTTTAGTAGCAGCCGATTTTCCGTACTCTTCCGCCTCGGAGAGTCCGAAATACTCAAACTGCGTTTTTTATTCCTCCTTCGGTTGAAAGATTTTCTAAACTTGGATAGAGCTGCTTGCAAGTACCCGAACCCTGTTCTTCCTTGCCTGGAACTTTCTGAAAACCGATTGGACAAGACCCCAGTAGAGTAGACTGGCTTATCAACAGAGACAATAGCCAGTCCACCCTGGGTGCTGGACCTTGAGTTATCTAAACTCTTGGCGGGCGATTCTTTGAAAGTTACGCACCTGTGGATATCTGAGGAGCTGGCAGCCGGGGGAGACACTGGCTTGGATGTTGCTTGCGAGCTCTGTCGCCTCATAACGGAGTTAAGGCTCTTGAGGGTGTACAGCAGCCGGTTGTGGACTGCTGGCGCGGCTGAGGTGTTGTTCGTTGACTGCTCGTTCACAGTTTCGCTGCTGAAAGGCTTGACCTTCACCCTGTGGGCTTCCACCTCTCGCAGCCTCCGTTGCCCGTAGTCTCTGATAACTGCCTGTAGGGATAAGAAGATGGGTTAGAACTAGGGCTGTACCGAATAGTGATTGTTACTATTCGGCCGAATACGAATAGTGGGACCAACTATTAGGCCAAATACGAATAGTGGGACTAACTATTAGGCCGAATACGAAAATCAATACAAATAGTGTATCATCATTATCGGGTGCCTTGCCGACTGGCGTAGGCGATCATGCCTTTCCACAATCTGCGACTCCCTGCAACATGTATACGTTGTGTGCCGACACACCTCCATGCCATGCAACAAGACTGTCAAGAATCTTCTCTCGCTGTCTTTCTCTATCCCTCCTTCCACAGATCCTTCCTGTGGTCACCACATGTTATATTTTCCCTCTTCTCATAACATGGCGACTGTCTCCTTATGATGTCTGTGATAAGTTGTCTTCGGGCTCCCGCTTCTTTCAAAACCATCGTTCGCTCGGCCGTTCGTTCGATGTAATTTAAACGCACCTTCATATTCTCGTCTGCAATATCTTCAAATTTGTTTTGGGCGAAGACACCCTGGAAGGACGAAAAATGCATGAGCACACACACACACATACACACACACACACACACACACACACACACACACACACACACACACACACACACACACAAGCAACAACAACAAAGGAAAATATTGGCTTTAAATATAAATGCTTACTTGGCGAGGCTAACAGTTCCTATTGTACAGACCACATTTTCCACTTTAAAATTTCAATCAAAATGTAATCACAACCTTACTTATCCGCTGCACCTTCACGAATACAGATGGAGGATCGGTCCACCTCGAGATAAATACAAACTCAATTTTTAGCACGCTGTGGTTGGCATTTTATGCAGTATGATACACTCTGAGTGTAAAAAAGGAGGAGAAAAAAAAACCTTTTTTCGACAGTGGCGAGGAAAGACAATTTAAATTTTAACTTCATGCCTTCTTTAATAATGTCACAATTTATAGCCGACTTTTCTTGATTTTCGCCGCGGCACCCCTGGCATACGCACCCAGTTTGAGAACATCTGCTGTAATGCCTCGGTGGAGTCAGCAGGCAAAGACCTTGCCAGCTGCTGTACGACGCAACCAGGTCGCAGTTTTCCCCCGCTACGACAGACTTAAGCAACAGCAACTATTGTGTTAATGAGATAGTTTTTTTTCAGTCCATCGCAGTGTATGCGGAAACAGGTGCAAGGTAACCACTATTTGTATTCAGCCCGACCGCAGGTATTCGGCAAATACCGAATATTTATTAGGTCCACTATTCGGTCCGAAGCGAATACGAAGCGAATATTCGGCACAACTCTAGTTAGAACAACAGACATTTTCCTTTGCTAATAAAAAAAAAAAATAATTGGAGGTTTAAAGAGGAGCGTGGATGAGAGGAGGAAAAGAACAAGAAAGAACTGGTAGTAGCGGCTCTTAAGCAAAGGGGCATATGTCTTTTAAGGGCTCCATCCACCTCCCCCCACTCACCCATCCCGCAAGGTTTGAAAGATCATCTGTGTCAGAACTGGTTCAAAGTACACGAGACATGAGTTGAAAGATAATCAGTGAGAGAACTCACTGAAAGCACACGAGACATGAGCTGAAAGATCATCAGTGACAGAACTCATTGAAAGCACACGAGACAGGAGCTGAAAGATCATCATTGAGAGAACTCATAAAAAGCACACGAGACAGGGGCTAAAAGATCATCAGTGAGAGAACTCATTGAAAGCACACTAGACGTGAGCTGAAAGATCATCAGTGAGAGAACTCATTGAAAGCACACGAGACAGGAGCTGAAAGATCATCAGTGAGAGAACTCATAAAAAGCACACGAGACAGGGGCTAAAAGATCATCAGTGAGAGAACTCATTGAAAGCACACTAGACGTGAGCTGAAAGATCATCAGTGAGAGAACTCATTGAAAGCACACGAGACAGGAGCTGAAAGATCATCAGTGAGAGAACTCATCGAAAGCATACGAGACAGATAATCGTGGATAGACATGACAACTACCGGCACACGCAAGGACTATATGAAGAATATAATATGCTGCTAGTGCAGTATCAGGTAATCATGCGTCTTGTTTAAGATCAGAGTTAATTATGGATAGACAGCTATCCTGGGTCGACCAAACTTAAGACACTAAGGATCACATATGGCCATGGTTGAAGGCTCTTTCAGTTCCAAGGGACCAAGCTGGCAAAGACAAATACTTGGAGGAATAAAACACAGAGATAAAATATAAAAAAAACTAAAGCTGAGTGGTAACCTAGAGTGCTAGAATGGGGATTCGTATTGATGGTTCTTGAACCAAATAAACATGGAGTTAGGGGCTGCTTCTTACCTCTGCCTCGGGGTGGTCCTTTAGAGCCTCCAGCACGTCCTCTCTGGACAGAACAAAGAGTTCCAGGTACCCAACCGACCTGACGTCTGCAGTCCGCCTGTTCAAGACACAATCAGTGACAGTCACTTGAATATGCATGAATATCTTGATCGAGTTATTCAGCAGATCTATAGCGACAAAGAATATTCGTAAGTTAAAGCTGTTCTAATGGATGATTCATGTCCCCCCCCCCCCCCCCCCTCCCCATCTCTTAGCCTCTCTTATCCAAGTCTACCTCACCAATGAATCATGAAGCCAAATACGCATGTCTGCTAGCCAGATGATCAAAACCTCAAACCTACATCGAGGCAGGACTTCAACAGTAACCTAGACCGCTTAGGAATTCAGCATAAACAAGGCACCAGGAAATTACCTGGGAAGTAAATACGACCAGCAGGAATTCAACGAATTCCAAATGTTCTACAAATAAAGAAGACTGTAAAACTATACCCGAAACAGCCACTCAATAATTCAGTTGTTTAGTAAGTCAATATTTCAGTCAACTAGTTCGGTAGTTAGTAGGCTATTTCATTAGCCGGAAAGGTCACAGTGACATCCCGGCTGACAAATTAAATGTTGGCTATTACAAAAGCGATCAGCTTTGAATATCACAAAAAGAAGACACAACATTGGATGAAAATACAATAACTGGAAATCTTTTCTCAGTCAAGTTATCGTTGCTGACAATCTAGGAGCCAGCTGGAAAAAAGACAGCACCGACCAACCGATTAACCTACCCTGCAGAATTCACGATCATATGCAAATGTCTAACACTGGAACACTGTAATATTGGACGGATGTTTGGCAGAGATTTGGTAACTGTGATTTGTCTTTTCTAACACCATGACAACCTAACGTTGATGACAGGATAAATAGTGCCTGCATGGGTGACAGTTTTAGAGTTTTCATATATCTTTCAAACTATCATTTTTGCTCTTCGTTCCCTCTTTCCTCTGTCCTACTGTTATGTAGTGAAGCATCGCAGAAACGTGTTTATGGCTGCCTGTCTTCTGCTACAGCGGTGCCTGTGTTAATGTCGTAGTGCGTGCCTGTAGCGTCTCTTCTAGTCCTTCCACCCAGCTCTATCTTGTTTGACCTCTTCACCTCTAGTCTGCTGTCCTCGTGTAGTATGATCAGGCTGTCGGCTGATCTTGTTCCATTCTGACCGGTTGACGAAGCCATTTAATTATTTGACGTTCTATGAAATCTTTTACTGATATGCCTGCCATTGTTCTTCACTGGTGAGTCTGCCTCTTCTTGTTTTTTCCGCTACATTTCTTTACATCCCATCTCACGTGTAATAATTGTTTGTTTAAGTTTTTCTAGAACTGTCCACATCTGACCTGACAGATAGCAACTGTCCACATCTGACCTGACAGATAGCAACTGTCCACATCTGACCTGACAGATAGCAACTGTCCACATCTAACCTGACAGATAGCAACTGTCCACATCTGACCTGACAGATAGCAACTGTCCACCTCTGACCTGACAGTTAGCAACTGTCCACATCTGACCTGACAGATAGCACCTGTCCACATCTGACCTGACAGTTATCAACTGTCCACATCTGACCTGACAGATAGCAACTGTCCACCTCTGACCTGACAGATAGCAACTGTCCACATCTGACCTGACAGATAGCAACTGTCCACATCTAACCTGACAGATAGCAACTGTCCACATCTGACCTGACAGACAGCAAAAAGGGGATATGAAGAGCACATGTTTTAGCCGATTAGTATGTGCTTGTTGACATTTTGATGCCTCAAAAGTGGCCCTGTTTGACTCTTCGCTGTCTGCTACTGAAAGTTCGGATCCGCTAAATCCTAAATGAGTATCAGGGTTACAAGACTTCGAGATCTATAATCTGACGAACCGCCCGCATTCTGTCCTATTTCTGCCTTGGCGTGAGTGTGTGGCTAACAAACCTCTAGCACTACCCGGCTATCACAACCTTCAGCCTGGCACTCTAGCGTGGTTGGCTAAACCATCTGCGCGGTGACCAGGTGACGAACTCCTTGTGGTCCGGGTTCACGGCCGGGAGTAGGCATAAAAGCCACATTTCTCCCAATTTACGGTACCTATCATGGAATCAAGGCCGAAGGGTTGCGATATCCACAGTACTGAGCCTAATGGTTAACAACTCATGGCTTCTGGACAACCTCCACGATACTCACAACTGACCTGAAGCTGGCCAACGCTTTACTTTAAAACAAAAATTTAAATTTAAATGTGGGATGGTAGATCAAGAGACTAACTTGATATCATGTGACAATTGTAATCTTCCTGTCATCGCTCGAACAATGTGTTAGAAGAGAGAATGTGATTTCAGGGGAGAGAATTCTGTTTTCGTAGTTTATTATTTTATTCAATCTTCCTTTGTCTATTGAGACGAGAAAAAGAATTAATAAAAGCTATATGAATTATATCTTGATATACGGAAGTAAATCATGGACAGTTAAGAGATTAGCAAAAAATGTTATCTGGAAGCTGCGTAGATGTGATTTTATTGACAAATGATGAGAATACACTGGACAGATAAAAAAGAGTAATGACAACGTCTTGAAAAAAAAACTGACTCGCAGAGAGCGATTGTCCACATCAGAAAGAAACAATCTACATTCTCTGATCATGTGATGAGAAGGTGAAAACTGGAGTACATCGTGACCGTAGGAAAGTTGGGGGGGGGGGGGGGGAGAGAGACGGAGAGAACCGATACTAGACAGTCTGACATCATGGCATGTAAAATCATCTGTGTCAGAGTTGATTAAAAGTACACGATACAGAAGGTTGTGGGTTGATATGACTAAAAATGTCACACGACATGGACTTTGAGAAAAAGAAGTTCATTACATGTTGCTTTAAACTCTGTAGAATTGCATTCTTCAAGATATCGCCAAATATGACAGGAAGGTGGGGTGAGAAGGAGAGGGGGAAGAGGGAGGTGTTTTGCATTATTTCAATTCACTACGATAAAACATTGTTTAAAAGTTGACCTCACCTGTTAATTCCGCCGTCCAAGTTGAGAATTCCGATTTCCCCAAAGAAATCGCCGGCTCCCATTCTCTTCAGCATGATACCTGTCTCACTGAGTTAGGAGAAGACAGAAACACAGCAGCTCAAGAACCTTGGACATTTCATCCTTCAGCTTCTTCTCTTTCACATTCCGCTAAGCCGGGATCGACTGACACAGCCCAATTGTGGGGAAATCAAGAACAGACCCACTGCAGCCCAAATATGGTAATTGAATGTGTCAACTAACTAAGGACTTCCTTATAAGTCAGAGTGCATCTGACTGACAGGCAGATATTTCTCGGCCCCTTTCTTCTTCTTCTTTTTCGTCTTCTTCTTCTTCTTCTTTTTCTTTTTCTTCTTCTTCTTCTTTTTCTTCTTCTTTTTCTTCTTCTTTTTCTTCTTCTTTTTCTTCTTCTTTTTCTTCTTCTTCTTCTTCTACTTCTTCTTCTTCTTTTTCTTCTTCTTCTTCTTCTTCTTCTTCTTCTTCTTCTTCTTCTTCTTCTTCTTCTTCTTCTTCTTCTTCTTCTTCTTCTTCTTCTTCTTCTTCTTCTTCTTCTTCTTCTTTTTCTTCTTCTTCTTCTTCTTCTTCTTCTTCTTCTTCTTCTCTAATTGCATTGTTCCCCTTAAAAGCCTTTCTGCGATATTTATCCCTTTCGGTCGTTACACCAGATTTCTTCGGAAATGTTTTGCCTGGGTTATATTGCAGTTCTGTTCATGAGATATCTTTATAAATGCTAAAGTATATAGACGAAGTGAATTGCTTCATAAAAGAAATCAAAGCTACCTACTTACCTGATAATTTCAACAACCCCGTCAGCAATAATGAACATCTCCCTAGCTACCTCCCCTCTGCGACAAATGAGATCTCCCGGGGTGAATATGTAAGCTTTCATCTTGAGCACCAGGTCATGGAGGAACTCCGGCTGACATTCTTGGAAGATGGTTACCTGGCAATAATATCACCGTGTTTATGTGAAGATGGTTACCTGGCAATAATATCCCCGTGTTTATGTGAAGATGGTTACCTGGCTATAATATCACCGTGTTTATGTGAAGATGGTTACCTGGCAATAATACCACCGTGTTTATGTGAAGATGGTTACCTGGCAATAATATCACCGTGTTTATGTGAAGATGGTTACCTGGCAATAATATCACCGTGTTTATGTGAAGATGGTTACCTGGCAATAATATCACCGTGTTTATGTGAAGATGGTTACCTGGCAATAATATCACCGTGTTTATGTGAAGATGGTTACCTGGCAATAATATCACCGTGTTTATGTGAAGATGGTTACCTGGCAATAATATCACCGTGTTTATGTGAAGATGGTTACCTGGCAATAATATCACCGTGTTTATGTGAAGATGGTTACCTGGCAATAATATCACCGTGTTTATGTGAAGATGGTTACCTGGCAATGATATCACCGTGTTTATGTGAAGATAGTTACCTGGCAATGATATCACCGTGTTTATATGAAGATGGTTACCTGGCAATGATATCACCGTCTTTATGTGAAGATGGTTACCTGGCAATGATATCACTGTGTTTAAATGAAGATAGTTACCTGGCAATGATATCACCGTGTTTATGTGAAGATGGTTACCTGGCAATGATATCACCGTGTTTATATGAAGTGGAGGACTGGCAATGATATCACCGTGTTTATATGAAGTGGAGGACTGGCAATGATATCACCGTGTTTATGTGAAGATGGTTACCTGGCAATGATATCACCGTGTTTATATGAAGATGGTTACCTGGCAATGATATCACCGTGTTTATATGAAGTGGAGGAATGGCAATGATATCACCGTGTTTATGGGAATGGCAAGAATCCCGTGTTTTTTTTGAAGGGAAATGCAAGATATCCCGTGTTTTTGAAGTGGAGGGAAGGCAAAGATATCACAAAAAGGTTA